TCAGCGGGCACGACCCACAGCAGGATGTTAGCGTGCGGCAGGCCACGCTTCTGCCACTCGATCGTGTACAGAATGGTCCGCTGCCGACCCAGAAGGCCGCCTCGCAGCTGCTTGACCAACGCCTGCAGCTTCAAGCCAAACACCTGACTGACAACGTCAGGGTTGTCGCACGGCCGATCGTGGCCGCCCGGCCTCTCCCCCGGGTAGAGGGTGCGCAGAGTTTGCTCAATATCTGGCCAGGCCGGGTGGCACGCCACGGTGATGAAGAAGTCGGCCGCGCCAAAGTCCCGATCTTAGCGGAGCGCGTCCTGTAGTTTGGCAATCATGTAGCGTGGGCTGCTCGTTACGGACGCCGGAAGCACCACGCGCCGGCCGTGCTCCTCTCTGTCAGCGAGCGCTTTTTTTATTAAGTCTGGATTTCTAGTCCTTGATTCTAGTTGGCTCTCTCTTTTGACATATTTGCTCTACTAGTATAACGTTATGGGCGCAAAATGACCCCAGTAGTCGGTGCGCCCTAAAGCTCCAATAAACAAACAAACAAACACGCCGCGAATGGTCTCTGCGTGGAAGCCATGGAAACCGTCCTGGTTCGCACGCATATACGACAGACGGTCGGACTCGACCTTAGCCTGAGTGTCCACCAGGTACTGCTGGAACAGACGGCCGCCTCGCGGAATGATATTGAAATGGTCCGGTCTGTAACGCATGTGGAACGCCGCGTACTGACGCATCGTGACCCCGCGCGCGGCCTTCAGCTCGCGCGACCACCCGTCCGTGCCGCGCGGGTGGAGCAGCACATAGAGCAGCGGGTCGTACTGGCGACTCAGCTCGTCGATGCGGAACAGCTGTCCGCCGCGCTCGCGAACGACGATGTCGCGCCGGTCCCCCATCTCGTTAGGCATCAGGACCGTGACCTTCATGGTCCTAGCTGGATACCTTAACAGCGCCATTTGACACGTGTGTAAGTGGTTGCCAAATGTGTTGAAATGATGAAAGCAATTAACCCGTCATGGTTGCTAGGGGTGCTGCCACCATCGATCTTCGCTGGAGTACTTTCAGCCGCCTGTCATTAAAAACTTTTCGTCAGCGATTCCCAGACACGAAAGCCACACACGTTGGCAGCCGTTTATTATCATCCAAAAGTCTAGGCTATTCCATGACTTCTCATTCACTCTCCACCGGCGTACACACTCACTCACTCACTCACTCACTCACTCACTCACTCACTCACTCACTCACTCACTCACTCACTCACTCTCGTCGACCACATTAACTTCAGTCTCCGGAGCGAGCCCTCGCGGACGCTGATCACGACTTGTCTTGCGGCGTAAGTCTTGGATTTTCTCGTTGATGAACTTGTTTATCTGCCCTAGCACGACCCGCTGCTAGTCGGAACTCTTTCCGCGTTTATCCATGTAGCAAGTTACTTCGCCTGTGAATGCAGAAAATAAAATCATTGGCACGGAAGGGGTCAGTGAGGCAGCAGCCATGCCACTATTTTTGAAGAGGACCCAGTAAAAATACCATTAGAGATTACCAAATGGCCTTATTGAACACTTTTCCAAATGGTCCCAAAGAGGCTCCTCTTGAAATGTGTCCAATTGGTCACCAATAGGTAACCAATTGATCCCGTTTCATGACCATTTGAAATGTTTTGAAATGGTCACCAATAGATAACCAATTGATACCACTTCATGACCATTTGAAATGTGTTGAAATGGTCACCAATAGGTAACCAATTGATCCACTTCAAGACCATTTGAAATGTGTCCAAATGTTCATGAATCCATTTGAATCCAGTTCATGACCATTTGAATCTACCAAATGGTTTCCATTTAAACCTATTTCATGCCCAGTTGAAATGGTTTTCAAATGGTCCCAGCTGGATTACCATTTGAAGATCTTTTTTTAAGTCCATGCATTTCGTCCACAAAATAACAAACTGCATCGTGAATTATTTTTATTTATTTTTACTCTGCAAGCATATACTCGTACATTTGCATCAGCATTCAGCATCTACCTACAAACATTATCTACATTGGTCAACACTGCACATCGATGAGGCGATTGCTACGAGTATCAACATGTTTTTTTTTTTTATAAACAATGTAGTACACTGGGCCATAGGTACGCCATTTCACATAGGTACAATGAACGACATGATACAATATTATTCCGCTCGGTGTTGCTATTTATTGTTTCGACAGATTTCTTCCGTGGCGAGCAGAATTTTCAGAACGTAGCTATGCAGGCATGCAGCCCCTCTGGACCCATGTAGAACCGGTAGACGGTGTCGGCCCGGTGCAAGTTCGTGCCCGCAACAGTACAGGACAGCACGGGTTAATTGGGCGATGGGGTTTCCATTTGGAAACCATTTCGACACCAATTGGGATCAAATGGGAATTTCTTCCATATGGAAACCATTTCGATACCACTTGGGATCAAATGGGACACACCATTTGAGCTCTTGATGAGAGGAGTGAGATGCCGGTAAAATGAAGCTTATGCAATTTTTGCATTAAATGTGTTTACTGAAAAAGTTCAAACAAAATTTGTCTACTATATAGAAGAAAAAATAACTTGTACTACGCCAAGATGAATTGGCCACTGCACTGGCCAGTGGCCAGCGCCGACACATCCCAGCCTTTGGGTGAACTGCTAGTTACAGTGTCACTCTGTAGGTGGCGCTGGCATCTGACAAGGCTTCAAGAGATCCTGCTGCGCCCAAGCTGGCTCGATAGACCGCCGACCTTTTTTTTTGCCGTTGATGACAGGCACTATGTTTAACCCTATGGACAGTTACTTGTGCGCTGGTATGGTCTCCCGCCAGGTGGACCGTCCTCCATGGCCTGCGGCGGTTTGGGTTGGCGTCGGTCGCTCTCCAGGGCTGGCGCCGCCGCCGCCCGCTCTACTGCTGCGAGCTGACGACCCGTGCTGGCGGCTCCATGCCGCGCCGTCCCCGCCGCCGCCGACGGGGCCTACCGGCGGCCCCTGCAGCCAAAAGGACCGCCGACGCAACGACCGTCGCGAGACCGATCAAGAGACCTCGGGAGGAGCCGAGAGAGCTCGCCTGGTGGCAGACGGGCACCATCTACCAGATCTACCCACGCTCCTTCTGTGACAGCAACGGGGACGGCGTCGGCGATTTGCCAGGTGGGTGACACTGGTGTGTACCAGTGTAGAAACGTGTATCAACTGGAGACGTGCATCGTGTATTGGGCGTCTGAAAAGTCAGAATAGGGGCGGGTTCCCAAAAGCTTTAACAACACACACACACCTTGTTTTATTGGGGGGGGGGGAGTGGAGGTGTCATTTTTTGTGCGCTTACCTATGTCTGTAAGGATAAAAATAGCAGCCTTAGGCCAGCGACCACCTCGGCTAGTCTTATCGGTGCGCTATGTAATAGGACCTCATTTCCCAGTCATCCCAGTCTTTGTCTATATTTCGGAACAAGCAAATCTTCTAACGGACGAACATTATTAAAGTTCGGTCAATTATGCCTGATATTTCAGTGTTCATGTTCCGAGATAACAAAATTGTGTTTGCCACATCTATGCAACATCTTCACCATCGCCCGTATTGGTGTTTTACCAGCCGCGAACGCATAATGGGGGGGGGGGGGTCCGTTGGACCCCCGTTGCCGTTTCGCCCATGATGGAGCTAGAGCTTCGCGGAAAAAACTAGCGTGTTGCCCGTGACAAGATGAAGCCGATGATACCCAATTTTAAGGTCCTAGGTTGACCCTCCAGGTCAGGTCAATGACTCAAAAGTCGGGAAGATCGGGACCTGTTAGAGCGTCGTAAAGTTTGGCTGCAATGGAGTTTTCGGGGTGCTGATCACGAATATCATGTTAGTTTTATCAGAGACGATGTCTTCATGTATTTAGGTCAAGTCGGGTCGGGCCAGGTCATGTCAACCAGTAGGGGTTGCCGGGTATTCGTAGCAGGTGTCATGTCAACCGCCTCTGAAGTTTCGTAATATGTTACGAAGCCACCAAAACTACGTTGTAAATGTTCAACTGGTTGCTAAATTCGCTGAAAAAAGCTAGCCTAGAAACATGTAAAACTCGAAAAAGTGAACCGAGGTCACCAATCGTCATTGATCTGACCTGACCTTCAGGTGACCTTGGCAACCACCTTAATGCATGGAGCAACATCATATCCCATGTTTGAACGCTTGAAACCACAAAGAGACTGCGAACGCGTGGCTTAGCCGACACATACCGAATTGCGATTCCGGACAAATATGGTCTCAAAAAGTATGTCACAGGTCAAAGGTCATTTGGGGCAGGGCCATGAAATTTTCAGGGTAGGTGTACAATGGACATATTGCTGCGCAGGATCTCCGTTACAGGTATGGTTTTATGATTTTCCCTACATCAGTTCCTTGAGCGAACGTTGGATGAGCATAGGTACATGGAAAAGCACACTGTCCTTTGATTTGCGGCGTGGCACGTCGCGAGTGGAACGGGACCGGCAGCCGCTGGAGTAGCGTGCCCGGCCGGCCGGGTCGCTGGGTCGGCGACTGTCCGGACTCTGTTTACCCCTCTCGTGACTGGGGTCGGCTCCTACCGTGGACTCTGACCCGGTGCACCCCTCCCGTTACGGCCCCCGTGTCAGCCGTCACCCTGTGATGGACCGCAGGCCGGCCGGCAGCGGTCGTTACGCCAGCGCGCCGCCCGACCGGCGCCGAGCTGCCTTGTTTCGGTCTATTGAATTCATCAGCGGCCGGCCTGGTGCAGGGGCGGCGGCGGGCGCACTGTGTAAGGGGTTGGGATGGGCGGGACGGTTGGGACGGCTGCGACGCCCACCATATGGGGTGACGCCTCTGACAGTTAGCTTGGCCAGGCAATCGATCGTCAGTCAGGGAGCGCAGCGGCAGCTGTGCTCGCCCCGCCCCCGCCCCCGCCGCCGCCATCGACCGGTGCGCTGACGGCGCGGCGCCGGCCGTGTCGTCAGCCTCGCTCCGCCCCTGCGCCGGCGCGGGGCCGACCTCGGGGGAGCCTCCTGGGAGCGGGCGCAGCGCCAGAGCTCGCCTGACATCAGCCGCGGCCGCCGCATACCGCAAGAATAGACACACACACGTGACACCGCACGACGCCACCGAGTCAACATGGGCGCGGACGGCGGTGAGCCGCTGCAGAACGGCGCCGGAGCTGACGACGAGAGCATGCCTCCGAACGAGGCGCGCGCCCTCACCGCCGGAGAAAAGCCACCAGAACTCATGGAGAAGACTGCAAATGGCGAGACGGAGGTGGACGTCGAGGGGGTCGACTCGGGCGCCCCCGAGTTCTGCGGCCTCACCAAGGAGGAGCTGATGCGCTATGCTAACGACCCGTTCTGGGTGCGTCTGCGCTGGGTGCTGCTGGCTGTCTTCTGGCTGATCTGGCTGGCGATGCTGGTGGTCGCCGTGGTGATTGTCGTGCTCGGCCCCAAGTGCGCACCCGTTCAGAAGCTCGACTGGTGGCAGAAGGACACCATCTACCAGATCTACCCGCGCTCGTTCAGTGACGACAGTGGTGACGGTGTTGGTGACGTGGCTGGTGAGTGCCGGGAGGGTAGAGGGAGGGAGGCGAGAGCGCAGGGCGTCGGTGGATGGGTAGAGGGAAGGGTGTCGAGGAGAGGGAGAGAGCTAATTGTTATTCCACGCGCGTCCGGCGTTCGTGCCTGGCAGTCTGCTACAGACTAAAGTGAAGCCTTATCAATGGTCCTTTCGTTTCAACCTTTGTGTTCGAAGTCTGTAAAACTGATGTGCAACAAATGATTGCAGCGGGGTTTTTGGTGTGCCAAAATAGTATTTAGTTTTACGCGCCGATTCGGTTATGCAACATTGCTGACGCCTAGCCTTTTCCTCCTGACGTGCTGCCCTCACCGGGCACGAGGCTCCTGGGAAACCAGTTCAAACCGGTTACAGCGCCGGCGGCCCCGCCCGGGTCGATCCTCCTCCCGGGGCCTCCGTCCCCGCTCGCCGCCTGGTGGCAGCTCGGGGAGTTAGGCTACTCAGAAACCCGACCCTCCCCCTCCCCCCAGCGGCTACGCTCCCGGGACTGCTGACGTCACTAGCAGTGGGAGATTTCCGCCCCCCCCCCCCCTCCGCCTCTGGGGCATTCCACGTCAAATCGAACAAAAATCGGCTGTTTTGCACCTTACCATCAGCGATTTCATTATAAATTTGTGGGCGAGTTCCTGTGTCGCCCCGAACATTACATTGATGTTTTTTGCACATTCTGACCACAGGTCTTCTAAATATAGGGCATCGAATTTTTACAAAATGTTGCATCTTTATATTTTTGAACGACCATAACTTTGGTTGTACTTGGTTGATTTTAATGAAATAAGCCTTACTGTTTAGGTAATTTCTTAAGCATTTGTTTAGAATTGCACCTACTTAAATATATGACCTTGAAATTTGCTTAACTCTGTTCTTAAGCACAAAAATTGAAATAGCAAAAAACACGTCACCTTCGATTTGGCTAATTTTCATATATTTTATTGCCTACCATATTCTTAACAACCTGTGAAAAAAATAGAGTGGGCCATTCATAAGTTTTGAAGAAAATGGCACATATGCAAACGTATGTTAGCACGCGCAGTGGAGGGGGAAGAGTGAATTTCGCCCCACCCCTCCTGTTTTTCGCCAATATCTCATAGTATTAATGCGAAATTAATTATAGCTACCTGTCCAAAATTGAATAGCACATCTCATCGTGCAAGCAAGAAGAAAATCGGCTCACAACTGTTCTAGTAATAGCGGTGTAAAGTGAACATTCTGTCGCCGCGGCGACGCGGCACCTCGGCAGCCGGCGTCGACCGCTAGCCGCCGCCTGAATTGTAGACTGTGCCGGGACGGAACGGAACGGTTCCGTCTTTACATCGCGCTCCTTACCGCTGATTACGTTCAATTCGCGTCAAATTTTGTGAGAAGACTAAGAAATGTACAGGCAATCTCATGGTGTAAGAATTTTGAAAATCGGTTGGTAAACAATTGAAATATGAACGTGTAAACACAAAATTGTGATTGCTGCGTTTCCCGCGTCGGCCGATCCCGCCTCAGCCGGCGACATGTTACTCTTAGCAGGTCTCTAACTGCCATATTTATTATTGGATTAACTAGAAATTCCCCATACATACTCAAAAATGTATATTCTTTCGTAAAGTGAAGATAAAAAGACGTGAAGATATCGATGCGTGATAATGTTTTCGTTGAATTTTTGGCTTCATGATGCATTTCCACACGGCTCAAAATTCACCGCAAAATACCGTTTGCCTGAGACACTTTTACTATGGAACTTGAATGCTTGACTACGATGACTATGTATTTCCATTCTCGCAGAGTTTGGGATATCACTTATCAGCAATCATTCATTTCAGAAAGTGTACACAAGCAAGCATGTCTTGACTCTGTCTTTCAAGGTCACGCGCGGTTGCGTGATGTTGATGCATGAAAACGGCGTTTGCCGCGAGAGTTATGAATGGCCCACTCCAATTTTTTCACAGATGGTTAGGAACATTGTGACGGACATAATATGTAAAAATTACCCGAATCGAAGGTGACGTGTTTTTTGCTATTTAAATTTTTCTGTTTTAATTCAAGGTCAAATGCATTTCAAGGTCACTTCAATTAAATTTTATAATTAAAAATCAAAGCCTTATCAATTGCCTACAAGACCCTGTTAGTATCATTTTGATACCGGAAAAGGAACCAGATTTATAGACATTTAAAAAATTGATGTGTGGCATTTTTGGCTATATTCGATGACCTATATCTCAGCAATACTTTATCAAATTTCGAAAATATTATACGTAACTCAGTTTTGAACCATGCCCAGTCTGCCTACAAATTTTCAGAAAAATCGAAGGGGATGACGGATTTCGGTGTTTGATTTGACGTGGAATGCCCCCTCTGTCTCACCCCTCCCCTCTCCCCTACTGCGACGACCGCGCCTTAGTCCCGTCAGAGCCAGCGTCGCGTTGGTGTACTGTATGACATGGGCCGTCTATTTGGGGCCGTCTGCGCCGCAGCTGTGCCCCGGCTGGTAATAGGTTTTGTTATCACAGTCCGCCAGCCCGGGGGAGGGAGGGAGGGGCGAGGGTAACGGGCCAGGCGGAACGGGGTCGGGGAGTGGCGGTCATCACCCTCAGTGGGGAACGGGGAGGGGGTAATCGAGGCGAACCAGCCGGGGGATGGGGCGTCGCCCCCCCCCCCCCCCCGAGGGGAGGGTGGGGCTGTGCTTTGCTCGGAAAAAACGGCGAGGCGTGATGTGGAATATATCGTACTTATTCACTCGTCAATTATGTCCGTGTCCCGCCTTCAAAGCTCCTAAAACACTGCGGATGTTCGAGGGCATGACATGTTGATAACACAGCAAAACGTGTGTGAGTGAGCGGTATTCGTATTCGTCGTCCCACCCACGCCTTTCTGATCTTATGTCGGATGTATCCTTACATTTGACTCGCTTTCAGTTTCCCTCTCCGCTGTGAACCTGTCAGTAACAGCGCCGTGTTGTTGGCAGGAATTCGCACCAAGCTCGACTACCTGAAGGACCTGGGCGTGCGCTCGCTATGGCTCTCTCCGATCTACAAGTCGCCGATGAAGGACTTTGGGTACGACATCTCCGACTTCCGCGCGGTAGACCCGCTGTTTGGCACGATGGAGGATTTCGACGGCCTGCTGGCCGACGCCAAGGAGCGAGGTTAGTGAAACTGCGGGCGGTGGCCAGTGGGTGGAAACTGCGAATGAGCGGGGTTAGTGAAGTTGTTGAACTGCGATTGTAATGTCTGAAGTTTGAATGCTATGAATGCATGCGACTGATGGAGGTGTTCTGGACTCGACAGATTGATCACTTGACAGATTCAACAGATTGATGACTTTTGTCGTCTGTTGTATTTTAGGGGTCTGGCTGTTGGTTTTCTGGCGTCGGAAGAATGGATTAACCGCCACAGATGATATCCCGTTTGCAGTCAGGCTGTTATTGTGAGTCTGCCCGTTAATATCTGCCTGTTTTCCTCCTAGCCGTTGTCTGACGTTCTGTAACCCTCCCACCGGCAGACATGCACTTCATCATGGACTTTGTGCCGAACCACAGCAGCGACCAGCACGACTGGTTCCAGCGCTCGGTGAGACGCGAGCACAACTACACCGACTTTTACATCTGGGCGGACGGTGTGGGCGGCGGCCCGCCCAACGGCTGGCAGTCGGTGTTCGGCGGGTCGGCCTGGACCTACAACGCGGCACGCGGCCAGTACTACTACCACCAGTTCCTGCCGCAGCAGCCCGACCTCAACTTCCGCAACCCCAACGTCGTCAAGGAGATGGATGATGTCATCCGCTTCTGGTTGGACAAGGGCGTCGATGGATTCAGGTGAGACGATTGTAGGTGCGATGGCTATGTTTTTGGTACAGAAGAACAACAACACTCTTCTAATAAGACGGCTAGGTTTTTCTTGATCGAATGATGATACAAAGGCTCTCACCTAGCTGAGCGAGAGTTACGCGGGATAGGTTTTCTACATTGTTTCAGCCTTTAGATCACGTAGCGCTGAATCGAGCTGAGCTGATCGTCTTTATTTTTGTTAAATACGATCACATCCTGTGTTTATTTATTGTGACCGTTATAACGTCACTAACCGGTGTCCGTTTTCCGTTGCAGACTGGACGCGCTGAAGCACCTGTTTGAGACTGAGGATCTGACCGCCACCGAGCCGCGTCTGCCCAACACGACCGACTCCGACTGGGGCGCGTTCAACCACACGGGCGTCACCACCGACCTGCCCGAGACGTTCGACGTGCTCTCCGGCTGGCGCAGCATCTGCCAGGAGTTCGAGGACAAGGACGGCGAGCACAGGCGAGTGACGCGTGGGTGTTAGCATGGCGACCGGGCTGGTGGGGCTGAAACGACGGTCTCGACAGCAGGGCTGCTGGATGTTCGCTGTTCGCTTTTATCTTTTTTCTTGCTTTGCGACTTATCAGAACATTGGCTGTCGTTATTAGTTATATTTTGAATGTCCGTTCTTCAGTTACTGCACACAAACTGTCTCTGTTAGGCTCAGGAATAAACAAAAGTACTTTCAAATTGTATTCGCCATCTCGTATCACTTACCCCATGCCTTCTTTGACCTCTGTGTCGTGCCGTCTGCGCAGGCTTCTGATGGCCGAGGTTTATGGCGAGACGAGCCGTCTGATGCAGTACTACGGCAACGGGACCGACATGGCTGACTTCCCCTTCAACTTCCTGCTGGTGGAGCGTCTGAAGTCATCGGCCGACCTGACGGGCACCAGTCTGCAGTCGGCTATCGACGAGTGGCGCCGTGCACAGCCCAACGACACCTGGGCCAACTGGGTGCTGGGCAACCACGATCAGCCGCGCGTGGCCTCTCGGGTCGGCGAGGAGGCGGCCGACGCGCTCAACATGCTCCTCCTGCTGCTGCCCGGCACGCCCGTCACCTACTACGGCGAGGAGCTGGCCATGACGGACGCCGAGATCGCTCCGCCGCAGCGCCAGGACAAGGCCGGCCGCGACCCGCAGCGGACGCCGATGCAGTGGAACGCCGAGGCCCACGCTGGGTTCTCGGCGGCCGAGCCGTGGCTGCCGGTCAACTCCAACTATCGCGAGGTGAACGTGGAGACCCAGCTGGCGGCGGACACCAGCCACCTGAAGGTGTACCGCGCCCTGCAGAAGCTCCGGTCGGGCGCCGGAGCCGAGTCTCTCACCGCCGGCGACTACACAGAGCTGGTCGTCTCTGATAAGGTGAGACTGGTGAGAGGCTTGGTAGAAAAGTCTGGTGTGATGGATGCAGTTAGGAAGGGATTGAGGGATGGAGCATGATGAAGTAATCCTTTTTCGTTTCGTAATTTTGCTACATGAATCACTTGAGAGGCGGTGATACTTTATGGAATGTGAATACTCATGTTTGTAAGAGAAACATCCCACTGACATTATTTATATTTAGGTATAAGTGCTGCCTAAATTGCCTTAAATGTACGGCTCGATTTAACAGGTATCATCTGCTTGATGTGTCCCAGCAATACCGCGTGTCGCGTGGCGTCCAAACACCCCGCTATGACTAGAGCCATATGGACTGACGCCGCTCTCCCTCCCCGGCAGATATTCTCGTTCATGCGTCTGCGCAGCGGCAACCCGGGCTACGCCGTGATCATCAACACATCCGACCAGACGCTGTCGGCAGACCTGACTCAGGCCGGCTCCAAACAGCTCGCCGATGAGGGCACTGTGGCCGTGCGCAGCTCACAGGCTACCAGCGAGGCCACCGGCGTCGGCACCCGCGTTCAGTTCAAGGCGGTGCCGCTCGGGCCTCGCGAGGGCATTGTGCTGTCGTTCGTGCCCAAGGCAGCCTCGTAAGCCGGCTTCGGCGACTCTGGGTGGTTTGCGGCGATCGCTGATGACGTCTGATGGCGCGCGATGTCCTCCGATGACGCGTGATGACGTTCGGTGACGTCCGGTGACTCCAGGCCAGCGGCGGCCCACCATCGGTCGGCCGGATGGCGTAATGTTCTGTTGCCTGATGTTGGACCGCTGCCGAACATTCAGGGACCCAATCGGTCTGGAGTCTGGTAAATTGGCCTACATATGAGATTATCGCAATATACTGGCCCCTTTAATCTGGTGTTTGTTGTCTCGACAGAGTGAGACGGTTATATGATGTGATCGAGATCGTATGAAAGCCTGACACGGAATCGAGATCCTGGGCAGCAGACGAGTTGATACACCAAAGGAGCCCATATCACGACAGTAATGAGTGGCACTGTACCAATAGGCGTTACAGGTTAAATTTATGAACGGTGGGTGTCGAATCTTGCTTACATACGGGCTTTCATACGGCCCGTGGACATACAATACAACTTTATTTCACAGGCATGCCATGAAGACGACTGGAATTATTTTTTCGGCGCTGATGTCTCTTGAAGTTTGACTAGCGAATGCCTACAAAGATAACAAGTCTCACATTTATGTACCGATTTATTGAACGGTTCAGGGTAACCCCACCTATGTCATGGGACGAAATGGTCGTTATTATAGATGTGACATTCTACAGCCAATTAGAGTGTTGAGGGGGTTCCCTGAAACAAGACGGACAGTGATATCCACGAAACGAATTATACTCCCAGTGTAACAAAATCTACTGCGCAACGTCTTCCTGTCTGACATCTCCGAAGTCGCCATTCCCGGTACCTACCAGACACTCCCCACCTATCTGTTCGTGGCGTTCCGCGTCATCTGTTACATTCCCAGACTATACCGGCGTTAAAAAAGCCACCCCGCGCCGCCAATGTCAGTCCACAGCCCGGCTCCGGCGGTCGCCCACCATGCTGCTTCTACTGGTGGCCATCGCCGCCACGGCGCCTCTGGCGCTGGCCAAAGACAGAAACTGCTCTGAGGGCTTCAAAGACCTGGGTCTGGAGGACAACCGGTGCTACTTCTTCAGCAGCGACGACAGCACGGTGGCCAACGAGACGTGGACGATGGCGTTCGTCAAGTGTCAGACGTTCGGCGGAGATATTCTCTCTGTTAAGGACCCGCTGCACTTCTATCCCATGTCCGTGCTGGTACAGCAGAGTGGCGCCGACGCCTGGACCGGCCTTTTTCACGTGGGCGAAACATTCAGCTGGGCTGACGAGAGCCCGTACAACGAAGAGCTCAATCAGTTCATTGTCAACAAGTCGTCCAGCGCTATGTACGGCTACATCTCGGCTCAGGACGGCATGTTTCACTTCACCGACGGGGATGAGGTGATGCCTTACATCTGCTACGAGGACACTCTGATCCCCACAGAAACTCCTCCAACTACTCCCACGCCGCCCAACTGTACCGACGGATGGCAGGAGTTTGACGGCCACTGCTACCTGTTCAGCTCGGAGGAACAGGTCTGGACAACCGCTGAGCACAACTGCTCCACCCGGGACGCTGACCTCGTCTCTATTCACGATCATGACCTGGTGACCTTCCTGCTCATTCAGGCGGGAGCGGACATTTTCTGGACCGGATTACACAACGAGAACACCTCGTACGCCTGGGCTGACGGCTCCAGCACAGAGGACATCGCCGACGTCGTCGAGCCCATGTTGGACACATGGGAACGCGGCAAGGACTGCGTGGCCCTCAACCAGGCCCCTTATCCCAAGTCGCTGGTTCATTACGACTGCTTCGCGACGCACAAGTATGTGTGCTACAAAGAGTTTCGGAAGTCTGATGCGTATGCTCTCGATTATTCTAACAAATGGTATGCTGTGTAGCGGAACGACTTCGACTGATGTAGGCGTGGCAAAATAGTGTGCATAGGTAGCCACGGCGTGAAATGCCTCGTACTTTCAACTTTTTGAATAGGCTTGCTTAAAACGTACAAAAACATGACGTGGCGTGTGCTCATGAATTGCTACATGAAATACACTGTTCATGCAAAAAGTTCATCGGATGGTTTTGCAGATGTGCCGTCGTTTTCCTTGTAAAACATAGTTTGGCGTTACGGCGCTGCCTGTCGTTTCTATCCCTACATAATCTGAAGTCAACAGTTTTCATAGGTGTGCGACGTCCACGGCCATCGGAGAGCATACCTACTATAGATATGTCACACTTCTGGCGACATTCGTCTTTTGTGTCCGAATATGACAAACACAAACACAAAAATATTACGAAGACCTACGAACGGCTATGATAAACGGCACGTGGAACATGCTGAAGGAAGCAATGTATGCGGCGAAACTGTATAGCCTACTCTTCGAGTGGATACGCACAGTCGCACATCATATAACCTCTGGTCATAAAAGTTCGAAGCTTGCGCCCTTTCCGAGGCGCGCAACTTTGAATTTGAGCAGATCGATCACTCAGGCTTCAAACAGCACGATCAAGCATTCCAATCCGCTTGGCCATGGGCTGGCGTAATCCAGGGTATATAGAACAATAGAAGGGCGTCATCCGCTCTGAGTGGGCCCCAACCCGGATGCTGGCGGACCGTGGCAGGCATGGGCAATGGGCATTCGATGCCCGAGAGGGCACGAGGTTCTCGTATACCCTGTGTTTAGAATCCGTGCACCGAATGAGTCGACTGGGAGCCGGCTCGAATAGGTCTCCTTTAGCCAACTGTCCCGAGTCCGGCATTCGTCAGTGGCCAGAGTGAAGGAATGGAGTTTTCAGTCAGCGCTTGGTATATGTCCGAGTACAAGAGCACAGAAGTGATGAAACTTTCAGAAGGGTTAATACAACTTGTGAAGGCAGTGGGCGTTTATTACAAATCGCACACCAGACATTTCACATTTGACTACTTACAGAGACAATGTCTGAAACATTGAGCATCCACTGCATGATACAAATTTGTTATAAATTCTACATCACTTGTTCGACCGACCAATACACTGATTAGTTGCGAAGAAACAACTTGTTTTACACGGTTATGCTATTCGTAAGCTCAGTTACTTCTAGGAAAGCTCGCTAGAACTGTACATTGCATTGTCACGTTGACAATTAAATTAAAGGGACCCTCGGCTCCCACCTTAACATTAGATTTGAGTTGAGATAGCCAAAATTGGGTCCCTGGCTCACAATTACCGGTTTCGGCACTCACAACATCGAGAAATGCCTTAAATCGGAAATATTGAATTTCAAAATTGCAGCATTTTGATTCAGAGGGGCTAATGCTTAGGAATACCCCTCTGAATGTGTGACGTCAGCGCAAATATCTAACGATTTTTAAATGTTTGACTAAAACGTTTTGTAGCACGCGGTGGTATATGCTATTTGCGCGCAACATCTGCCGCAAACGCCGCACTTCTAAAATAAAGTCGCTAGAAACAGCGGAGATCCCAAAAAAGTAAACAAAAGTAAAAGTCTAATATCTTGAAAACCGGTGAATATTTTTTGGTGAAATTTGGTAGATATTCGTTTTCGCTCTTTCTGAACCGAGCGACATCACTTTCATGCCAATTCATAAACTTTTTTGAAGGTGGGAGGGTCCCTTTGTAGGGATCATCTATGCGATTTGTCATTTCATATTGTCATTTTCATTTATATTGTCACCGCTTTATTAATCAATCTGTTACCTGTTGTCAATTGCGCGTCAAGTTTGTTTGCCATTTGTAAACCGGCCTGCCGCTTTTTTTTTTTTTTTAAATTTTGTCTTCCCGGCATGCCTAAGGCAACCGCCAGGGAAGGGGAAATTACTAAGGCTGGCAATGAGCCAGATCTTTCGTTTTACTTTACTTTACTGTCAGCTATTTAATTCTGACCCAAGCAAGAGAGAGAAGCAAACTTTACTTTAATTCGGCTCATGTGGCGTCCGATTAACAAGGCAAGGGTGTCCAGAAAGGGGTAGAATATTCATACTTGATGCTGTAAATCTTGCTGCTGATGGTGTGAGGTGTTGCAATGTGTGATGTTTGTTGTGGGATGTATTTACCAGGAAAAGTCCTAACTAGAAAAAACCTGGTGCCTAAGTCAAGGGGCAAAAACTGTCGAGTACAGTAAAAATCCCCGCAATAGTTACGTTACGTTATATCTCTAATGTGGACAGTGAAAGTGTGATTGCGCAGGCTGTTCGCAGGGATCGGCCAAAATAAAAACCGGCCTACCGAGTGAGACAGCCAGCGGGTTATGGCAGCCGGTGTGACCCGGGTGCCCCAGTCATGTCCCGCCCGTCTCAGGGGTACAACTTTGACTGGAATTTGGTGGCTCTGGAGGAGTAGCCGTGAGGCATAGCTCGACTCCTAGGCAGCGATGTTGGTAGGGCTAGTGGTTACCCGTTGGAGGAATTCTCTGAAGGAAGATACGGCGTCCGTGGTGAGGGGGTCCGTCAAAATAGAAGCCAGCCACGGCTGCCCTGTACGCTTTGGATTCTGGGCGAAGGTCAAGGTCGTATAGTCGGATTTCATGGTCAAACCAGTAGAGGGTGGAGGGAGGGTAGGAAAGTCGCCTGCCGCTGGCGTACTCAAACTTCAGCGACCCGATGTCAGGTGGAGGGATCTCACCCCTGGGACGTCTCTTCGGGATCAGGTCTGGATCGGGATCGTCGGTGTCGTTTCGGGGGCTGTCAGGCTGGAAGCTCGCCGTGTAGCCTCGGGTGAACGGCCTGCTTCGAGAGCAGCCGAAGTCGTCGGGGTCCGTGGTTGGTGTCGGTGAGTCGGGGGTGTCAGTCTGGACTTCGGCAGAGACCAGTCGGGCGGGTCGAGTTTGAGAGGTCGAGTCGAAGGTGGTCAGTTTGGTCGTTTGGGTGCTGGCGTCGGTCGTCTGAGAGCTGGCTGTCTCGGTCTGGGTCTGAACAGGGACTGCGGTCGCCTTAGGGGCCATGACCTCACCATCTGTCTGGACAGAGGCGTCTGTGCGAGCCGGAGGGGGCTGCATCGTTCGGTGCTGACTCTCAAGTGGAGGCCAAGCTGTGGAGTTGAGCGGCGGGGGTTGGAATGGCGCTCGCTCTCGAGTGTCTCGTTTGGTGGTTTTCCAGACGGGGCAGCTGTTTCGGTCCCATGCTGGGTGTGGACCAGAGCAGAGAGGGCACTTTGGGACCGAGGTACAGTCACCTGTGGGGTGGCTGTCCCTGGCAGAGCACTGCCCGCAGACTGTCTCTTTTCGTCGGCAAGAGCGCATGGAGTGGCCTAGCTTCCAGCACCTACGG